TATAGCGAGAGACACGTGGATCAGACTGGGCGCCAGTGGTCTGATGGAGGCGTGATACTCGACATCGGTCGGTGATGATCGATGGTTCTCTGCAGTGGGAGTTGAGACAGTGGCGGCTAGCTACCCGGGAGACTTGACCAGGACAGCAGAGACTCGACGCGATGATAGCGGCGAGGTGTGCGGTAAGCACGGGACACAACGACAGGCCAAGGCACTGTTGGTCAGACATGTGGTCAGACAAATTGTGTAGGGGGTGCTGAAGCAGTGTTGACGAGTACCAGATTCGAGTTGGTGACTGGGTCTATCGGTGCCTGTTGATTGACAAGAGTTGACCATGGTGAATCTGAGAAAGTGGCGGAGAGTCTGAAATTGTCAAAATCCGAGAGAGTACATGGCCGTATATTCTGTGGTGTTCGGTACACATGGCAAAGTGCGGATGACAAGTACAGAAGGAGGCTGAGTGCTATAATTGTGGGACATGCTAGAGACTATCCAGGAAAAGGATGAGACAACTGTGAATTTGACTCAGGGTGACACAGGGCGACGGTGAAATTCCTTCAAGTTTCAGACAGACGGTCAAGAAAGAGCGGTGATGTTGAGTTCAGGTAACTCTTATTTGTGGCGTTCAATACGTGAGTTGTTCATTTTCATGCAGACAGTGGTCGGTGTGTGATGGTGTTGAACGGATTCTTCGGAAGTTGGGAGCACAAAGTAGAGTATTGAGGAACTTAATTTTGCTCGAGTATTGACTGTGAAGAAGACAAGAAGGGACTACAGTTGCAGGTGGAGTCATATGGAGTCTGGGAGTAGCAGCGGTGCTCATGGTGTATCTCAAGTCCAATGTACATGGAGGTTTGACGCACGGACGAATTCAAGGTGGTGGAGAATATTCGTCAAGGTGGAGTTTGTTAAAGTTGTGTCGAATATTATTGTACAAGTTAGGTTATAATTGGACTTTGTTTTGGACTGTGTGTAGACAGGGTAGGAGTTGTGTCCTAATATGACACATGTATCCTAGGCCTCTTATATATAGCGGGGGTAGACATACGATGTAACCTATGCCAACATAATAGCACGGGCACGCGGGGGGAGCCGGCGGCGTGTGCCGGCGCCCGGGCAGCCGGGGTGCGGTATTGTAGCGGTGTCATGGGGAGGAGCGCCCATAGTCATGCCCCGGGGATGTAGCCATATCGATGAACCTCGTTAACAAATCTTGGTGTCGTGTTTGTGTGATTGCTTGATCCTCGGTAGAAAGACGGAGCGCCTCGGATTTATTCTAACAAGCATCTTGAGAAATATAATTGTGCTTTATGTGGAGATAACACGGAGGAAACTATTACACATCTGTTTTGGAACTACCCATTTGCTCTGCTCTGTTGGGGTCATATTATTCCTAATCACCAGAGAGGCATTTCATCATTCGATGAGATCACTCTCTCCCTTATTCATCTCCCTAGAGATAATGCTCTTGAGATCATCATTGTTGGCTGTTGGGGTATTTGATCATACAGAAATGAAAAGATCTTCAGATGGGCTGTTCCACATCTTGTTTGCTGGAAATATCATCTTAAAGAGGGACTATGGGCAGCACAGATTAAGTCCAGGCCACAGAAAGCAGAGAGAATAAAACAGCTGGATTGATCAACACCTTTGATTTTTATCATGTTTCCCAGAACTGGGATTGATTGAATTATGTTGCTATTTTGTACTTGTAAATATTTAATGTTAATGAAATTACCGTAGAAAAATTATTTTACGGTCTCGGCTAAAAAATGATATCATAATTAGTGTTCCATTCCATTCCAAGTGATAGCCCAAAATTTTGGTTAAAGTCATATCTGATTTCAGGATTGGATGTACGCGCTGGGGGAGTCGGTGTCGTTCAGGTGATTCCTCTCCGAGTCGCTGGAGTGGGTGTCATGGCGCTAGCCCCTCATGTGAAGCCGGCTACCATGGGGCATGTCCAATCGTCACCAGCAGCTGAGCTCGATCTATCAGTACAAGGCAAGTTCTCTATGTCGGTCATAGTGGTTGGAGCTTGATCGGCCTCTGCCAACTATGGTGATATGTGCATTGGCGGTTCTTGACCAGCCTAGAGTTGTACTCCATGCTTGGTGGAGGCAGTCCTGAAGCAATTCTAGTATGTCACTGTTCCGAATGAACTTGATACATAAACTAGGACCAGAAATAGAAATCCATTATCTTTGAAGGCAATTCCAATAGATATTGAAGTTCATTACGTTATGAAAGCTCAAGATATCGATATCCGAAATAGATACTCAGGATGCACAAGAGAAGGTATTGTAATGCATTTTCTTATCGTTCTGTACATCACTATGGTATTACGCAATTTGTTATATATAAGAACCGTCCCTTGTTATATAAACATTTGTTGCTCAGTCAGGTACAAATTCTTCCCTGGCTAACCATTAAGGGGTTGCACATAGACTGAAGTAGCAAATGCCGTGTTATATTTTTATTTTTCACTTTAGTTATTTAGACGAATATTTCTTTATTATTGTGCTTCACTACTGATACATAAGACATTGCTATTTGAAAGGTAATAAGCTTGCACAACAACAATCGGTGGGAACAACCCAATCATGCATTGGTGTCTCAAAACATTATCTGCATTTGACAATATATAGTATGGGAGCATGGAACCAGTTCCCTTCAGTGAAAAGATACACTGACTTTGTTGTCATTTCACTGAAAAGATGTCAGCACTGTCTAGATTTCTGAACAAGAGAATGATGCTATGGAGGGTGAGTAACAAACTTTTCATACTTGCCACGCTGAACTCAATACACGTCCACTGCTACTTTGTTGCTTATGTACCTACCAGTAGTGTTGTACTGCTATCCAAGTTCTTGCTATTTCAAATTTATATGCTACTACCGCGTGCAGCTTTCAGATGCTTGTTATAGCTAATTGTCAGCTTAGTTAAGCCTAGTTTATTTGCATGTTCCAGCAGTGTTACCGGCTGATGTCTAGATCTATATTTGAATATTGAAAAATATTAATGGGACTCGACACCCGAAAGAGTCTCAGTGACAAAAACCCACGATACAGTCACCATCCGAGCAGCCGCACCAAGGCCGAGCAGCGACAAAAGGATCACCCCTAGATTGGCCCGAGTGGAAGTCGCCGGTAGGGATCAGGCGGGCGGGGAGGGGCGGATAATGAGTTTGAATCTCACTGCCCGCATTTATTTTTGAATTTAAAAAAATTAATGGGACTCGACACCCGAAAGAGTCTCAGCGTGACAAAAACCCATGATACAGTCAACCCTCCGAGCAGCCGCACCAAGGCCGAGCAGCGACAAAAGGATCACCCCTGGATCGGCCCAAGTGAGAGTCGCCGATAGGGATCCGGCGGGCAGGGACAGGAAGGCGTAATGAGTTTGAATCTCACTGCCCGCATCTATTTTTGAATATTAATGGGACTCAACAACCGAAAGAGTCCCAGTGACAAAAACCCACGATAGAGGCAACCCTTCGAGCAACCACACCAAGGCCGAGCAACGACAAAAGGTTCACCCCTGGATCGGCCCGAGTGGGAGTCGCCGGTAGGGATCCGACGTGCGGGGACGGGAAGACGTAATGAGTTTGAATCTCACCGCCCGCATCAATTTTTGAATATTAAAAAAAAATTAATGGGACTCGACACTCAAAAGAGTCTTAGTGACAAAAACCGATGATACAGTCAACCCTCCGAGCAGCCGCACCAAGGCCGAGCATTGACAAAAGGATCACCCATGGATCGGCCCGAGTGGGAGTCGCTGGTAGGGATCAGGCGGGCGGGGACTAGAAGACATAATGAGTTCGAATCTCACTGCCTGCATCTATGTTTGAATATTAGAAAAATATTAATGGGACTCGACACCCAAAAGAGTCTAAGTGACAAAAGCCACGATACAGTCAACCCTCCGAGCAGCCACACCAAGGCCGAGCAGCGACAAAAAGGATCATCCCTGAATCGGCCGGAGTGGGAGTCGCCAGTACGGATCATGCGGGCAGGGACGGGAAGACGTAATGAGTTTGAATCTCACCTTCCACATCTCTACTCTTATAAAAGACCAAGTTGGTGGTGATGGTGTGCCTGTCATCGTGTAATATAGACCGTCCGATTTATATCTGACGGATAAAAAGCAAACTATGGCATTGCAAAAAGATGCCCGCACCTCTCTTCACACTTGCAGATAAGGATTTCCCTCGTTTATCCTTTTCTCTTACAAGATAAACTACTCATACATATGCATCTTGATGTTCCGTGCAACGCACGGGCATCTTGCTAGTCTATTTTTGAATATTAAAAGAATATTAATGGGACTCAACACCCGAAAGAGTCTCAATGACAAAAACCCAGGATACAGACAACCCTCCGAGCAGCCGCACCAAGGCCGAGCAGCAACAAAAGGATCACCCCTGGATCGGCCCGAGTGGGAGTAGCCGGTAGGGATCATGCAGGCGGGGACGGGAAGAAGTCTGATGCCGCCTGTATCGGCGCGAGGAGGTAAACCTAGCGTGACGGTAATTTTATAATTCAGGAGCTTTATTAATTACTCAATAATACTACATTCGCCGGCAATACAATCAGGAAGGAAGCTTAGAACAAAGTTGAACAAAAGACACTTCCGACAACCTCACTCACTGGTGTTGAGCACATAGATGAGCAGCCATATTGGTTGGGTTGAGATCTTCTACAATACTGTATGGTGTTGTAGTATAGATGACATGTGGGGGTCAGGTCCCACATGACAGTGACTGTACAACATCCGTACAGTACTGCAGTGGTTTGCTAGCGTGACGGGAATCGAGGCCCACTCGAAAGCAATAAACGTTCACGTGATGGATGCCAGAAATTTCAAAAGATAAGCTCACCCGATTCCACAAGTCGACACAACGGTGAGAAACCAGGTAGGACATCATTGTCACGAAATGACACGACTCGCAGATGCATCTGAGATCTGACTCGATCGATGATTAGAGCGGAGCACTTCATTTGACGCGGCGGCACAGCGTGACGCCGTCGGCGATGGGGACGATGCAGGCCTCGACGCGGTCGTCTGCGGCGACGGCGGCGTTGAACTCAAGGAAGCTGTCCCGCACCCGGCGGTCGTATTCGGAGCTGCCCGGCTTGTCGCGGGGCATGGCCACGGAGCCGCCCCAGAGCGTGTTGTCGTAGGCGATGGCGCCGCCGACGCGCACCAGGCGCAGCAGCCGCTCGTGGTACCCCGCGTACTGCAGCTTGTCCGCGTCCGCGTACGCGAAGTCGAACGTGCCGGCCCTGGCGCCGCCGTCCTCGGACAGGATCTTGTCGAGCTCGGCGACCCCGTCGCCCTCGCGGAAGTTCACCTTGTGCGCGACGCCGGCCTTCTCGATCACCGGCCGCCCCAGCTCGTAGTACTCCCGGCTCGCATCGATCGCCACCACCTGTGTGTCCGTTCCGGCTAATATCTATCAGGATGGCTGGGTGAAGTGCCATATGTATGAAATGAAACATAGAGGCGACGGGGACGGACCTTGCCGCCGGCGGGGAGGGCGAGAGCGGTGGTGAGCAGTGAGTATCCGGTGAACACGCCGACCTCGATTGTGTTGCTGGCGCCGATCATCTTGAGCAGGACGGAGAAGAACTGCATCTGGTCCGGCGACGACCCCATGAAGGACCTGGAGAGGCCAGCAACAACACAACGTAAACAGATCGAGCTCAGACAGCCGGTGCACGACCCCATGAAAGACCTGGATATATGCTGCTGGCAAGGCAACGAGCGACGTCGTACTTGGCGTGCTGCTGCGTGATGAGGCGGAGCTCGCGCAGGCGCTCGTGCTCCCGCGGGTACACCGTCGTCTCCAGCACGTACTGCATATGTGGTGTGGGATGCAAAATTAGTAATCTACTACTTGGGAGACATCCATCATGCATGTGACCGGCCGGCATAGTCGGTAGTAGTAGCAGATCGATCTGCTGGTATGCGTGCGTACCTCCAGGATCGAGTCGTCCGCCAGGAGGGTGTTGCTGTCCGGACGGTAGGTCGCCATGGATCTCACTCTCTCTTTCTCAAGCTCTCCGGGAGAGAGAATGCGTGTACGTACCAGTAGTCTAGCACAGCCCTTCTCTCTTCCATCTCTATTACGTATTATGCAGTGGGAGGATTGACAACGTGTGAGTGAGATGTGAGGAGGTCCCATCACCAGCTATCGAGAAATAGTCTTGCTAAGTCTAAGTCTAAGTCGACTAAAACTTTGTTACGTCTCAGTCGGGTGCTATATTCGTGAGATCATACATTGACATTCGTGCAAAAATTTCTTTTCAATTTTTTTCTTTTATTTTTATATGATATGTCATATGACTGAAACTTAGTTAAATCTCAATCGACTGATACCTGACCACATCCATCGAGAAAACACCACAGACTGGTTGGCCGAGTTGATTGAGAGGATCCAGCTTCCACGAGTTTTTTTTTTTGATTGATCAGGGAACGGAGCGCACACCCTCTCCAAGCAAGCATCTGCCACCGATTGACCTTGGGCCCACGGAAGAGAAATGGTGTTACCTCATCCACCGTCGCTACTTGCTGTTACCTCACGCAAAAAGGTTGTCGAAGCATGACTTGTGCTGGTCCCAGCGAATCATTTTGCCGGTTTCAGATTTCCGTCTCGCCAGTCCAAGCAAATAACCTCCTCCTATACCAGCAAAAAAGACTCCATAAATTCCCAGCAACAGAAAATCTCGCTGGTCGCAACAAAAATTCTCACCCGTCCCATCAAAAATGGTCGATGGTTCCAGCAAAAAAAAGGCTTGCCATCGCTGGGTCGTAGCGAAAATTCTCGCCGGTCGCAATAAAAAATTTCACTGGTCCTAGGACAAATGATCGCCAGCAAAAAAAAATTTACTCGCAATTGTTGGATCGTAGCAAAAATTCTTACCTGTCGCCGGTTACAACAAAAATTCTCGCCACCAAAAAAGTCGCCAGTTTCAGCAAAAAAGTAACTTGCCATTGATGAGCCGCAACACAAAATTCTCGCCGGTCGCAATAAAAATTCTCACTGATCCCAGCAAAAATGATAGCGGTTGCAGAAAAAGAAGGGCTTTGCCATAGCTAGGATGCAACAAAATTCTCCCCTGTCCAAGCAAAACAACTCATCGTTTGTAGCAAAAAAATAAGTTAGCCGCCGCTGGTCACCGCGAAAAAATACAACCGGTTGATCCCAGCAAAACAACTTGCATTTGTAGCTCAATATCAACCGGTTGGAGCTCCGCCGGGCTGTTATTGGCAATTGCAACGTAAAAAAGGAAAATACGAGTGGACAGAGGTGGGAATAGAGATAAGTGTGGCGAGAAAAGTGGTCGAGCAGCTAAAAAAAAGCGGCTGAGTCCCACTAGCACGTGCGTCGTTGGTGCAACAGGAGCCAGTCGATCAATGCGGATCGTATGTTGCCCACGCGACCGGCGCGCGGTTAGGCCGGTCAGCCGTTATGCTACGTTTCCCTTTATATTTTCCAAAAATCAACATATGTGAATTTAAGTGGAATGCACACAAGTACAAAATTGAGTCCTATGTTATAAAAATATAACACTGCGCTTAACATGAGTAAAAAAAATATGATTGCACTCAAATTCCAAAAACTGCCATTTTGAAATTACATGCTATACTTCTCAGTTGTCACACAGAAAAATTATATAAAAAAATCTTCAACCTTTCACATTACGTCGTAGTATTTGTTTCATTCAAGTACCACTCTAATAAACTAGACTTTACTCTAAGACTAATTGCTTAAGAAACATAAATACAAGATCAATACCTGCTCATGCTCCCGCGGGTACACACCGACGCCTCGAGCACGTACTGCGTGTCATGAAAAAATCAATTATTACGATGCCACATGCTTGGGAGAGGTTGAGTCTGGCCACAGTGGAAATAACTTCAAGAGTAATATCGGGTCCGACTCAATAAATTTGTCTATGTGGCAATGAGGTAATGAGCAGAGAGGTAAATTGAGTAACTTAGCTACTTAACTTATTATATGAGTAACATCACACATATCAAGACAAAATGAGTCTATAACCTAATAAATGAAGCTTTGCATGAAACTACACATATGTTAGTACCCATTATGGAAGCGGTAACATAGTCTAGGATAACACGTATGTTACTAGTGTAAGTTACTCTTCAATGTGACAAGTCTTAAGCTAATTGAGTGATAGATTTAGCTGCTGGTCCGATCTGGTGGTATACGTGTGTACCTCCAGGATCGAGTCGTTTCGCCAGGAGGGTGTTGTTGTCCACATGGTAGGTCGCCATGGATCTCTCTCAAGCTCAAGCTCTCTGTGAGTGTGTCTAGACTCCCCTCCTCTCTCTCTCACACACACACTCTCTCTCTAACAAGTTTTTCATGAATGAATCATATTATCCCACACATACTGCCCTTTGAGTTTCATCTAACAATGTATGTGCGTGAATGGTCTGCCCTTTAACCTGTAGAACATCATGACAACGCGCGTAGACTACACAACGTGTAGAGCTATAATGAGTGAATGAATCAGTAAATCAACATGTAGAGCAAGAAGATGTAAAACTTATAATCTCCATGGTTGCCGCACGCAATGGTCATGTTGTCTCCAGCCGATCAACCGCACCACAATACTTCGTGACAGAGTTCTACATGGTGTATCATCGATACGCTCAGGACTTGACACTGTGTTCATGGATGATGTGCATGAAATGTGCTTTCACGCACGAAACTAACCATGCATGCACTGCCAAAGGACCCTCCTCCTTTGTTCCTACCTATGAAGTCTGTAGATACGACCAACCACACATCGCACAACAAGTGACCGAGTACACCACCATCATTCTTACTCTAAAAAAATGACATGAAAGTTTGAAAACAAGCTCAATGGCATTTGACCGAACACCTGTCGGACGTGGTG